GGGGGGGGGGGCGGGGCAGGAGCCACTCCCCCTTCCTCTCCAGCGGCTCGGTTCTGCACCCCCTTGCTTTGCTGCTGCCTTCTCCTCCGTCACTGTTCCCCTCACCCCGCAGGCAAGCTGTCCTTGGAGGAGTTCATCCGCGGGGCCAAAAGCGACCCGTCCATCGTGCGTCTGCTGCAGTGCGACCCCAGCAGCGCCTCCCAGTTCTGAGCGAGGAGCCAGGTTTCCCCTCCCTGCCTTCACTGGCCCTCTCCCGGCTCTCAGCTTCCTCGCCCTTGTGTCTGTCCAGGCTGGGGGTCAGATTGCCACCCCCAGGGTCTGTACTCTGAGGGGCCTATGAAGAAAGGAACCCTGCAGCCCGCCCCAAGTTCCAAGCCAGCAAGTGGTTAGCACCCTCCATCCAGGAGGCAATATCTCCCTTCGGCAATGATAAAGACACAGGCGCTGGCTTGGTCTGCCTCTCAGTCAGCCCTCCCTTACCTAGCTATCAGAAAGTCAGCCATTCCCCCTCCCCCACCCCCGCACACACCCAGCCACGAGGCCAGACTTCCCTCCGCCAACCACGGGGCAAGCTTCCCTGCCTCCATCCCAACCCTTGTAGATCTCAGCCTTGGTGGAGTTGGGAATCATGCCTGTCTTTTTATTTGGAGAGGAGAGAAGGATTCCAGAGGTTTGGGGGCTTGAGGAGAAACCTTCCTTGAGCCATCCTTCCCTGCAGGAGGGCCTCAACCTTGCCTGCCCCTGCCCTTGTTGGCCCGGAGGCCATGATGCAAAAGGAAAACCTCCTGCTTCCAGCCCCCCCAGCTGTGAGTCCCATGAACCCCCGCCTGCGTTTCAGCATTTTGATGAACACAGACCCACGGACCCCTCTGTGTGTCTTGTCTCTCTCAGATACACAGGCCCACAGACAGATGGGCAGACACACCTAGAGCGCCACCCACAGTGTCCTGTGTGGGAGAGCAGCACAGGCCCCCCGGCCGAGTCCCCTCCCCCGCTGCATGCATCCACGTGGAGCATCTCTGTTCTTTTTAACGTCTTCAGAATAAAGTCTCGTTTCAGTGCAGTGGGCTGGGTGGCTGGGGGAGAGCGGTGAAAGACCCACCGGGGGCCTGGAGTGGCACTGAGCCCTCTTGGCTGGCTCCAGGAATCCTGGCCTGATCACAGTGCAGAGTTGGCTGGAGGGCCCCAGTGGCCACGGGGCTTGGGTGAGGCAACAGCTGTCAAAGGGTCATCAGCCCAGAGCTAGTGCAGCTCAGCAGGTCATGGTCCTCCACAGGCTCTGGGCTCTCCCGCATCTGTGGAGATGTCAGAGGCTGCCAGGCCCACTGGGTCTGGGTCTCCTCCTCCAAGACATCTAGAAAGTGGGAGGAGTGGGGGGCTGGGAGGATCTCTGGGTGAAGGGACATCATTACTCTCCACTATGCAAGAGTCAGGCCATACCCTTGGAGTGCCCCCAATTCCAGCCCAGATACCTCTCCCCCTCCCCAAGACTCATCCTGGGCCTTGGGAGAGCCAAGTGTCAGCTGTATGACTTAGCTGGGAGATCTGAGTTCTCTGAGCCTCCAAGTCTCTCCTTTTGGTCCTGGGGAGAAAACTGTTGCCCCAGTTTTCAAGGTGGGGGCCCTTTACAGAGGGGTGGGGACAGATCAGACTGAGCTCCCCAGCAGGGGCTCCCAGGAAGTATGAAGAGTCAGGGCTTGGGGGGATGGCAGGCCTTACCATGTGATGGCTGCTTTTCCCCAACCAGGGCCTCAGTTCCAGCAACTGGTGGGTGATCTGGGCACTGCGGACAGCAAACACACTCTCTGCCATGCAGAACAGTAACGAGATGCCCCAGAGACACAGGCTGGAGCTCTGTAGGGGGACAGGGGGGCAGTGATGGCTGCCTGGGGTTGGGGAGTGGAGGGCAGGACTCCAAGAACCCTTCCCACCTCTGATGAGCACCTCGCTGCCCTCCCACCCCATCCCAGGCCTAAGCACTTACGTAAATGCGAGTGGGGTCGAAGGGACAGTCGGGCGCCAGTGCCAGTAGTTCGGGGTCCCCAAAAGTACAGGCAGCCAGCAGTGCCTGGCCCTGGGTGGCAAAGGTCACAGCAATCGAGGCCAAGAGGCCGAGAGCACAGGTCAGAGAGAGAAGGGCACAGGCCACACTCGAGCTAAACACCGTCCAGCGCTGGATGGAGGAGGCCACTGGTCAGTGGACATCAGGCTCGGCCCCATGGGCAGCTCTGGCCCCCATGGGGTCAGCCTCACCCCCTCCAAGCAGGCCAGGCCCTTGAGGGTGGCTGCTGCCCCTATCCACACAGCCCCATCCCAGGAGGTACCACATACCAGAGGGATGCTGGGGAGGTAGCGTGATAACACGATGACTGCAATGCCTGAGGTGATGACCTGTGGAGGAGGCTCAAGTCAGCTCTGACCCCCTACTGGAGGACAGTGGGCAGGGGGTCAGGGCCACCCTCCAGCAGAGATTCCACCAACACCGACTCTAGCCCCCCAAACCCACACCCCCTGCTTAGCTTTGGTTTCATTACCTCCACCTGCATGGGGACACTGCCTCTTCATGGTCCAGCCCTGAGCTGACGTTTCTAAAACACAGTCACTCCCTGCCTACAACCTTCCATGACTCCCCACTGCCTACAGCTGCATTTCTCAAGCAGGGACCTGTGTATCCCAGGGCCACAGAGCCATGTCACAGGATATATATGACATGTTTCCCTGGAGTGGAAAAGATTTTGGAAGAAACTCAGTAACTCAACTGGCAAGGAACTAAAAACAAAATTGTTACTTTAAAATAAACCAGGATACTTTATGGAGTAGAATTCAAAATCCCTAGGAGTATTTTTAACTATCGAAGGCTCTCAGTGACCTGGCCCCTGCCCCATCAGTTTCTCAACTCCACCCTGGGCCAGGCTCTTTCCTCATCGCCCTGGATATGGACACCCACACAGAGCCTGCGCTTGATGCCGCCTACACAGCACCTTCTCAGGAAGGCCTTTCCTGCTCCTCTTTACCTGCTTGGGTTCTCCCTCCTACAGGTCCCCCTAACCACCCCCAGCCCCAAGAGGCGGGCCCACCTCACTGTTAAGCCCACCAGCTGCCCTCTGGATCTTCTGGGTTCCACTCAGCTGGGCTCCCTCCTTCAGTTCCCTCACTTTACCAGGCATGGGCTGGACCCGCGGGAGGCAGGTGAGATGATAGGGGGCCCAGCAATGTCTGCAATTCACTGTGCAGCCACTAGTAAGTGCCTCAAACTCTCTGGGCTAAGCCCGCTCAGCAGGA